TGAAGCGGGCTTCCTGTTCTATTATGTAAAATAAGTAATGAAAGAAGAAGAATCGTAGCGTCATTTAGAGAGCAAAATAGAAATTAAAAAAACTATTAAAGCGATTAAAATATTGGATAAAACTAGATTAAAATTTAAATCAATAAGTTGATTGATTTTAAGGTGACAGTTTAACAGATGGCACCAACTCGTGCTTAGAGAAGCCAACACTTTTGGCTTAAATCAAAGATAATGGATAAACTTAACATTAATGAAGTTTAACTATAGCCTAACGGCTTCACAGTTTAACTAACTCGCAAGTTGGCTCTGACAGAAGTCGGCGTAAACAAGCTTAATGGCAAGAATAACTCAACACCGCAGAATTCTAATCGCTAGAGGATCAACGTTAGCAACGTGGCCTTCAAGCAAGCAGAACATGCTCTGATTTCACTCTTCAAACCCTCGCTTTAAATATTTCCTTCTTTATACCTAATTTAAATATCACGCGTAGTGGAAATTCATATTCGGGTCGGGAAGTGAATGGAGGCTTGATAAAAGAGTAATTTAAAGTAATTGGTTAGGAAATTAAAATGAACCTGACAGTATACAGTGGTGGCCAAAATTGTGGACACATTTGGAAATTTTCATGTTTTTGAACTTTGTATGCTTATCGAAAACGTTACGTTTCACAAAATGCAAACTTGTATACATTATTTTAAAGAGAATTTATTACTGAATTCAATACAAAACACAAAATTCAATTATTTGCAATACAAAAAAAAGTTAAACGATAATAGTTATCGATATACATTAGATAGTGATGTTTGCAGTGAGTTATCAGTACTTAGTATGGTACCCTTTATTTTTTATTACAGCTTCACATCGACGTTTCATTGAGCTGACAAGAGTTTTAAGCTCTTCTTTCGTTATTACATGATCCCAGGAAACCATTATAGCCTCAATTAGTTCCCTTTTATTTGACGGGCGCCTCATTCGGACAAGAGTTTTCAAACGGTGCCACAAATTTTCGATAGGATTGAGGTCAGGACTGTTTCCTGGCCATGACAACAATTTAATGCTATTTGTACGAAACCACTCTTTCGATATTTTGACCGTGTGGCAAGGAGCAGAATCCTGTTGAAAAATAAACGAAGCATTGTTGGGAAAGAGATCTCTGATGGAAAGTAGAAGGTTTGGTTCTAGAATAGTGTTAATGTATTTTCTGGCATTCAGTGTCCCATCGATGACATGAAGGCGACCAATACCATCTGCTGACATGCATGACCAAATCATAACACTAACTGGGTTCTTCACAGTTGCTTGAATGCAGTCAGGATGTAGCTCTTCTCCTATTCTACGTCTTACATATTTTCGCCTATCACTACCGAATAACGATATCTTAGTTTCATCACTCCATATAACTTGTGACCACTGATCATCTGTCCAATTAATGTGTTCCTTTGCCCAATGTAGTCTTTTTTTTTTTTCGTTGCTGAAAATTAAGATAAGGCTTTTTTCGTGGAATTCTACCTCTCAGTCCAACATCTGTTAATCTTCTCCTGATTGTTCTTGAACTGACAGAAACACCAGCATCATTCAGATCACTTCTGATGTTTCTATCTTGGAGACATAGTCTTTTTATTCTTCTGTCATCAATAGATGTGGTGCACCTTTTTCGGACATTTCCTTCTTTGTTTTTTATTGAATTTGTCTCCTGATATCGTAAACAAATTTTTCGGACTCCAGATGTAGTCACTGAACCACCCACCTGTCTTGCAATTTCAGCATAGGAAAGACCACTTTCTCGTAACACAATAATATTACATCTCTTTCTAGGTGTCCAATCTACTCTTTTATTTGATGTCATTGCTTCTTGACTAAATATTAAAAATTTTTACAAAAATTCCTACTTGTAATTGCAGTGTATAAGAAACAGGTCCTCCTTCTACAGAACAAAGCAAAATAATGAATTGTTTCAAGTGTAAACATGATGTCAGCTTCTGGTCAACTGATGTCAGCTTCTGGTCAACTTCTGTCAACTGGCAGTTACTAACATTTGATTGGTTCTCAGAACAAGAACAGTGATTGGCCAGGCGACTTCATAAGTGTTTTTTATTTATATTAATGTACATATAACTTTTTGTGTATTGCAAATAATTGAATTTTGTGTTTTGTACGGAATTCAGTAATAAATTCTCTTTAAAATGATATATACAAGTTTGCATTTTGCGAAACGTAACATTTTCTATAAGCATACAAAGTTCAAAAACATAAAAATTTCCAAAAGTGTCCACAATTTTGGCCACCACTGTACTTTCAGCAAAAGTAAAGTTAGAAAATGATTAAAAGACCAATAATGATTTATAGATGCGGAAGATTTATTTATACCTCCTTTTCTAGTGTCAGATTGATGTTTTTATGAGAATTTTAGGCTGTGTTAATTTGAAAAGTATTAATTAAATCATACTGAGACCTGCTTCCCCAGAGCTAGTTCTCTTATTAATTAAGACGCGAAGTAATAAATTCTCCAATAATTTGTATTTCTGCCTGCTGAAGAAGCGATTGATATCCATCAAAAGCACAGAATATTTATAATATTTGAAAAAAAAAATAATCCCGCATCATCTTAAAATGCATTGAGATATTCTATAAAACCAAAGTGGTCTCAAGTTGATTTTTAAATTATCTCTCATATTCTCATTTATGTTTCCTGTTACAGTAAAACACGTATTGCTAATCTCTGCAAGCTATTTAAATGCAAGTCAAAAGAAATTCTCATGCGTTATTCGTCTTCAGAACTTTAACATCGTCAGTATAAAACTAAATATCCAGTTACAAAAAACACCTTTGCTGCATCGACCTTGAACTATATCGATGAAAGAAAAAAGAATTTAAGTAGAAACTTTCAACACAATTGTTGTTTACGCATCGCAATACGTCCTGCAAATAAATATTTACAGGCAATATCTCTTATTTCCCAGAGTAAATGTGAAGACCTTAATAACCCTCCCTCCGTCGTTGTAAAAAAAAAAAAAAAAAAAAAAAAAAAAAAAAAAAAAACGAAGTCTTTCTTTTTTTCAAACGTAGGAAAAGGTTTATAGAAAAGCATTTGTTTAGCTTCCAACACGCGATTTTTTTTTTTTTTTGTTGTTGTTGTTGATGGTAGTGATTTTGCCAACCTATAGTCGCGGAATTTACAGTAGTGAATTCTTACAAGCTTAACGTTTTATTACGTATTAGCAATCAATAAATTGTATGAAGGGACTTAGTATAATTTCTAGTTGTGAACAAATTTAAAATATTTTTGTTTATTTTCTTTCGAAAAGCTGAACTAGATCTAAGGAATTGATTTATTTATCTATTCTATAAAAGCTGCAAAAAGATTTCAGTTTTTATCTGAAGTAGTAATTCAGGCATTGCTAGTTGCCAATTTCTTATTGATGCAATTGACTCGTACGTAAAAGTGAAACGTTTTCTATAATTTTGAAAACATAAATTCTCAGTGAGTGAAAATTTTTTAATTTAGGAAAACATTAATGATAATGTTACGAATTTTGTACCTAAGTAAATAATTTTAGAGAAATAACATGCGAACTTGTAGTATTATTTTCGTATAATGTAACATGGAAATCTAAATGCAGGGGAAAGTCTAACTTTGATTAAATGACTATCTCGCTAGATTGGCGAGATTTTGCCAAGCTGGCGACGATTTGGGTGACTTATTTTTGTCGGTAACTTTGGCGACCATATGGCGACATTTTGGTTAGGTCCTTGTTCACCGTGATGTGTATTCTAAATGAATAACTGTAATTGATTCTATATGTAGCTGCAACCGTACCTTACCCTCAATTACCTTCCAGTAATTTCGAGAAGTACTAGAAATTTCTCTGCGGCCACGGGAAACGAATTCGGAGTGTCAAAATATCCACGAGAGCTTCGCCTTTTAGATGCGCTTTGCCTTGCTTTATGTTTAACGCTCCCTCGTAGTAGGTGTAACTACCGATTGTACTCTGTGATTTTGTGAAAAGCTGTACGAATATTTCTGTGGAAAGTTCGAGAACTGGGAAATATTTCTATGGATAAAATAAATTTTATTAAGCTATTGTCGATTCTGTGTGCATGAAATAAATTACCAATAATAAGTATCTACTTCATTCGGCTTTTCTCCTGAGAGAGTTTAAAGGCCTCATGTCTTATTTTGTCTCATTATCTCTTTGAAAAATGCTAGCAGTATCAGACGTCCTTTGAAATCCCAAATTCCTTTCATATAATTTTTTGCTCTGGATAGCAATAATATCTAGGGCCGATTATGCTAATGGGATGACGCGAAGATTAGATCCAGACTCGTATCTCTGTATTTGCTAGCAAATAAATTAATGAAGTTATTTATTTCGGATATATGTCTTCCTAGACTGCTACAATTCAAACAGGACTGGGAAGACGCCGAACACTGATAGTTCAACCAAATCCTAAAATCTGTGAACCATACCTACTAGCGGCTGAGCGGTAAAATCGATGAACACTGGTAGTTCGACCTGGGTTCGATTCCAGGCGAACAGACTGGCTGCGTGGGCGTTTTCATGATTTTCACCATATATAACTTGTATACGAAACAGTTTCCCTTAGAAAGTCCTCCAAAAAGGCATCCCATCTCCTTAAGCAGATAGCCATAGTGTGCTTTGTCGTAACCAACTAAACCAAATTGACTGGTTGGGTGGTGAATTGACTGGTTGGGTGGGCGTTTTCGTGGATTTTTCAATGTGGAATATGAATGCGATTTCAGTTAATACAGATTCATAAATTGATACCTTAATTCAAATATTATAACATTTTTATAGAAAATTTATAGGTTTTTATCATTAACATTTCAATATTAGTATTCCAGAGCTGGTTTTCATTCAACGCAATTTGATACTTTTAATTTATTTAACTAACTGTTGTATAAAAGTAAATTACGTTTTTAATATGAAATTATTTATAAAAGATTTGTAGTTAATAATAATGTTTTGACTGTTTTACAGCTATTTTATACATCGCAAGAAATTTCTCGTCACTTATCTCATAAACGGCATATTAGCGTCTCTTGTAGCAATCACAGGTAAGACTTTATTTTTTTCTAAGAGAATCTTACTAATTCTTACTTTATAAGGTATTTCTCCCGCTTTCCTAGCGTGCCTTCGTGGTGTAACGGTAGCACGCTGGGCCGGTATTCCAGAGGTCCGTGGTTTGATTCCCGGCGAAGGCGGTTGCATATTTTTCATCTTTTATACTTCCAACTAACCTAATGACTCTAACAAAAACATCTTATTAACTCTTTAAAATCCTAAGATAACACCAATGCAAAATAAGAATTTAAATAAGTCTAAATGATTTTAATACTCTACAAAGGCAGGAGTCTTACAGGAGTCTTACAGGAATCATGCTTAATGCCATTCACTTCTATTCTCATAAAAGATTAGCCTGCTACTATTCAAACAGTGGCAGGACTGAGAAGACTCCGAACACTGATAGTTCAACCAAATCTTAAAATTCTGTGAACTAGACCCATTAGCGGCTGAGCTGTAAAATCGGCTGAGCGATATTGTTTCACTTTAAGAACAAAACAAATGCAAGTCAAAGCTAAAATCTTTAAAACATCTTTAAAAAATAAAGCATCTTAAGATTAGTTGGACTACGAAATTTAAAGAACAAATTTAATTTCTAGTGCTTTTTATTCTGTTGATTGTTGGAGAGAAGTTTTATTTCTCTCCAACAATCAACAGAATAAAAATATAGTGCGAATTATTTACTATAGAAAATTAATGAAACCGATTTTAAAAAATAATGTATTAACAGTAAATTAACGAATCTGAAGTTTACACCAAAAAATTACAAATGATGGAAATTAGCAATTCTAATTTAAGGCTTTAGATCTTGAGTTATTCTTTTCGTAGTGATATAATTGTGCAGCCTTTAATATCAAAATTAAGACTTTAACACTAAGTCTTATTTATTATAATTAAGTCTTTTTTATTAAAATGAAGTCTTAATTATTAAAATTAAGACTCCAACATTAAGGAATTGTTATTGAACAGACATATTGAACAGACAGGGGTTGTTCATTCTTAATGTTGTGTTATCTTTATTATGTGCGTATTAACTTTATTTAGCATGTCGTTATAAAAACGATATGCTAAGTAAAGTTCATTAAGAAGCATGCTAAAATTATGCTATTGGCACAATATTTGTAAAACTCACAAACCACGAGACAAAGGCTTCATCTATAGCTGCCAGTAAGAAAATAAGATCTAAACTACGTAAAAAACCAATATCTTAGATGGAGAACATTAAAAGAAGGTTTCACAATATTGCAGTCTGAGCTTCTTCTTAGGAGAAAAAAAAGAGAGAGAAAATTATACATTTTTTTAACAATAGTAATACTTTTCCTCTCTGTGCTGCCAAAAGTATTGAAAGAATTTCTCCACTAGGTGCGCTACATCTCCTAGAGGCTTTCCATGGTCATAAATGTTTTCTTATTTTGATTAATAATACCAATTCTATTTCTCATTTATCTTTAGATTTTAAAGCACTTGACTTCGTTGGTTATTCCTTTATTATTTTCTATCAACTGATACATCGCAGCGTTTCTACATTCGTCTCTTTTCTTTGTTTATATCACTGCTCTCTTGCAAAACACTTCTCTGGTATTCCCCTTTTATGATTCAATTTCTCATATGATTCAGATCTTACTTTCATTTCTGGCAGCTGAAGAAGATGCAGTCAAGAACTTAGAAACACATTTTTACCAGTTTTACATATATCATATCAATTCTCATTTTACTAAATACCTTCCTTTTTATAGAGTTTTATCGTCGCAGTTTAATACTCTTGTTCATAATAAATTTGAAAAATACTTTAAAAGCAATGAATTAAATTTTAATATTTAATTAGGTGGATGTGCCCTTTTCCATCCTTGGGAAGCCCTTATTGTAGGTGCCATCGGTTCCTTGCTAGCCAACTGCACTGTCCCGCTGCTAGACAAGTTGCATATTGATGATCCAGTGGGTGCCATTGCTGTACATGGTGCTGGATCTGTATGGGGAATGCTAGCTGTAGGACTCTTTGTTGAAGAAGATAATCTAATGCATCTGAGCAATCATTTGACAGGCCTCTTCAGAGGAGGAGGTTGGACATTGTTAGGGGTGCAACTTCTGGCTGTTATAGTTGTCACGGCCTGGAGCATGATCACAACATTTGGATTGCTATTCGTAAGTATATATTTCCCACAAAATGAATTTTCTTAGATTTCGTTATGATTGTCTTATTTTATTACATTGTATTAATCTTTGATATAGTTATTAAGGAGGTAATTTCGAATGCATCATTCTTCAGATCTAAAATCTCTGCGTTTCAATTTGATTTTTTTTTGTAGTTCATTGTAAAAATAAAGACAACTCGCAAACATTTCATTGCTTCAGAACTTCAGAAAGCTTCATTTCATTTTCCATTTTTGACACCATGGCAATTCTTTAAATTATTTTTTAATTTATTTAATCATTAACTTATCATCCTATTGTAATAAATGACATTTCTGTTAGTCGGAGATCCTATTCGATTATATAGATTGTTAAGTAATTAATTGTATATATAGTCAAAACATGATATTTGTATACAGAACCGTGCGTAAGTGTTTTTTTATCTAAGGCAAGAGGGCGTCAGAATTAAATTCTCTTCACTTTATAAAGAGTTAATCATCTATATTTGTACATTTTGGTATCAATAAATATTTTAGATCATAGCACCGAAACTTTTATGGCCATTTTTAATCGTAGTTCTTTACATCCACGAAAACAGTACATAAATTGTAAATGGTTTTATAATGAAATATGCTTATGGTATCGTAACAGCTTAAATGAATTGTGTTATTCCTGTAGCTTATCGTAATAAAAGAAATAAATAGAATTATTGTGAAGTGAAATTTATAAAATTTCTAAATCGAAAAACTTTTAATAAAAATCAACAGTTTAATAATACATTTAACTTATGTATTTTTCCTTTGTATATGCCAAATGATCTACCTTGATGCCAAATTTCAAGTATCTAAGTCATTTAGAAGTGGTCTAGGTTTTTGATGAGTGATTCAGTCAGTGAGTGATAAAAATGTCACTTTTTCAGACCTTAATAATTCCATAAATATAATACGTAGATAATGAAATTTGGTGTGCGTTTAAGAGAGCTTTATTAGACATACAAACTTACAAGTTTCTAAGTCTAATAGTTTTTGAGCAATTGGGGAGTCGAAAGTAGCTCTAAATACATGGCCATACAAGATACACATGATACACATGGCCAGTGTCTTGCTGTTTTCTTTCCCATCTGTTCCATACTTGGCTGACACACTGCCATGTGTCTAAATATCTAGCTTTTTGTCTATGTTTAGCGACCAGACGCTGTTTATAAGTTTAGATTAGCGGACGTTTTATATATTTGAACTCAAATGTTTTGTCCGGACATATATTTTTTATATCTGTAGTGCCGTCCATGCATGCGTGTCGAATTTAATCCTTTACTTTAATTTCTGTTTCTTCCAGACTATCAACAAATTCGTGCCCATCAGAATGACACCGGAAGAAGAAAAAGCTGGAGCAGACCTTGTAGAACATAACATCAACTATAACTTTGACCCCACATCAAATCATTTCCCAAAGCTGGACTTAGCTACCATCAACAGCATCAAACTCTGCATTCAGTCAACATCTCAGATACCACAACAAAGGCCTAAGCCTCCAGACAGACTAAATTCTAGCACACAAACAGAGAGTTTTTCTCCGATAAAACATTATCCTTCAACAGACACAACCTCTTTGACTTCAGTTTATGTACCTAAAGAAACAGTAGTAGCGATCAATAATGACCGCGAAGTCTTAACAGCTTGGATGTCAGATGACGAGAAAACTGCTATATCAAGACGGCTTCCTTAATATAAAAGTAGCCTTATTTTGAAGCAAAAAATATGTCACTTAGTGTATTTGTACAAATAAAATGTATAGAATAAATAAAATGTTTATATTCATAAATATTACCACATGACATAAGAATCAGCTATATTAGTGATTCTATATTTTTGTCTTGTCATTTAAAGAAACAAAATATAGATCCCCATATTTGAAAGCAAAGTTGTCATATGAACAATTTTATAGACGTAATACATTAGCGAAGGAAGTACCATAAACTTTGAAATTATTCCAACATTCATACTGGACTCAAGCATAACTTGAGGTCGTAAGAAATACCATTTTAATACAAAATAAAACTCATGCTCATTAAAATTAGGAATGATAAATAAATATGCAGGCGGTATAAAGACGGAATAATTTTACTATATAATTTCATTTACCACAGCAGCACATTACATGATTAAATGGTGATGGGATATATTAGGTAAAGTTCAGAACTAAGTTCAAGGCATAGGGCAGTCACCTAAGATGTCAACTTTTCAAAGTCGTCAACTAAATTGTTCTGAGAAACAACGCTTTAAAATAAAAAATGCATATAGTTTCGATTCAGTAAAATGTTTAATTTATACGGGGGCACCTATTAAAAAAATCAAAGTTAAAATCCAGAGTGCAAAACTGTGTAAAATAATTCATTCAAACCCAGAGTGCAAAACTGTGTAAAATAATTCATTCAGATCCAGAGAGCAAAACTGTACAAAACTGAACTATGAAATTGACTGTTTCTCAAAAACGCATCAATCTTAAGTTCTTCGTCTGTATCATAATTATCACTGTCATCCCCGTGTTTGTATTTTTATTTCAACTTATTCAAAATTTATTATACTGATTTTACATTAAAGGTCTGGTAGCTTTAAATAGACTTAAAATATTAAACACTTTTATATTAAATTCTGTTTATTATGAAAGTTTTAAAACAAACCTCATAAATAAATTTGCCCTAGAACTATAGTTATAATAAAAAGAATTTCTAAACCTTTACCCTTTGGTGGTAGGAAGCCGGCTGCCATAGTATCGGGCTCAGGTTCAAATCCCAGAAAAGGCGTATTTCCAAGTATATAGTGTCTTTGCGGTATGGGGTGTTTAAATGTTGTCGAACCGAAATTCCTGTAGAGGGATTTCGCCATAGAAAAGAGGGGCGAGGAGATCACTCCCCTTCTGTGCTCTCCATTAAAATTGGGACGGAGCTTTCCCTTTTTCGCGAGTGTAAATTCGGTTTCTCCTGCGCTCCACCCCCGGCATTGAGCAAATGTGTCGGAAGAATGTGCAATGGAATTATCATCCTAAGAACGGGTATGATACCCTCTAGATGAAAGGCATGTTTGCGAGGCAAGCTGGCAATCGTGTCGCGCCCAGTAGCGCTCATTACTGTAGTAATGTAGTAATGCATGTCAGAGCTCATGGAGGGTGCCTGGGGGCGCAATGCGACCTGCTATCCGTCGTGCCAACATATCCCATACATGCTCTGTCTATGGGATTCAGATCCGGTGATCTGGCAGGCCACGGCAGATGTGGAATGCTTTCACTCTCCAGATAATTTACCATTTCTCTATATTCTTATTTCTTTTGCTATCAGTCGTAACTTGTAATTTTAAATTTTAGAGTTTAAAATCGTCTTGTTAGCAGTAAACCATCAATAAAATTAAATACAGACATCTCTATGCGTTTATGTGCAGATTGCTAACAAATTAAGCAAATTAATACAAAGAATTTGCACGGGTGTTTGAAAAAAGAGATTGTGTATATAAATAAGAAATTATTATGAAGTATTATCCTGCCTTAGACAATAGTTTTTATTTAACGTACTCCAAAGGAAATCTCCTCTTTTATTGTTTTATTTTTGCAATAAAATCATGTCCACAATATCTAGACATTATTTTCGATCAATGCTATATAAGATCTTTCACTTACTTTATTATAAAAGTGCGTTGCTCAGTATACAGTAACTCAATCGTTTATAAAGATAATCTGGCTTGGCCTTTTTAAGCAATATTTTGCTACAAATTCTTTTTTGATATAAGTGTAATAAATAAAAAATATTTCTAATATTTGTAATTAGTCAAAGGCAATATTTTTAATTCTGCTTTTTTTATAAGCAGTCATCTGCATCTAAAATCTAACAGTAAAATAAAATCTAACAGTTGTGATGAAATTTTTGGTAACATGTAGACTGCAAGCCTTTCTTTAGATTTTTGCTCAAAATGGTAGTATACTTAGTTAATATTTTGGCATTTTGGTTTTACTTTCAAATAAAAAAATAACGGAAATAAATATAGCTTTTAAAATTCAAATTATTTTTAGATATATTTTTTCAAGACGAAAGATTTAATTGGACGAGTTGGCAGTGAATATTAATTTTACTGAAGAAGAAAAATTTTATTGAAGTAGAGAACATCTGAAAGTTTTCTTTTATATTTTTTTATCTGTTAAATTTTTAAAAATAAATTTTTCGTCGAATTCCTAGCTTGTAATATGAAATTTCAGACTGTAAGTCCTGCCCCCGGCATCTCCATTAATAGTTTTGTTGTCGTGATCATGAATAACTGATGTTGCGTACAAACAACACGCAAAGAACTTCGTTTTAATATTATATTTATTTAATTACTGATAATCTTTACTGTATTAAATTTAACTGTTTCAAAAATTTTGCGTACGGAATGATGGTTTATTAAACAAATAGCTCAACAGATTAATGAATTACGGAAATGCACAACAGATGGCAGCACTTCAACATTATTTGAAAATTATCAATATTACTACGTCGTGTTAACTAATATTTAACTTGAAAATTAGTTTGTGTCAAAATTATGGGTGATGTAAATAAGTTTTAAAGCTGATAGAGCTTGTAGCGCTGTAACTGCGTGCATCAAATCGAAGCTTAAGTTTATAGAAATTATTTACTAAATTTAATAAGGCATCACGTATTGTAAACAGAGCACATTAATTCTTGATAGAATTTGCAGTTATGTCTATAAATATTATTATAGGCAGAGTATATATTTATATACGTAATATGTGCAAAATATATGTATATTGTGAGCAGTATACAAAGTAAAACATTTAGACTCCACGATATGTACAGTAAAACAGGCTTAAGAACCCAAATGGGAAAAAAAAAAGTTTTTTTTTTTTTTTTTTTTTTTTTTTTTTTTTTTTTTTTTTTTTAACAAATACTTTATTTTGCTTGAAATTATCATTACAAATTCATTAAATTGTAAATATTAAATAAATTTACATAATTAATATGAAACAAGCCAAATTTTGAAAGAACAAAAAACTACATATCTAGAAAATTTACATGTCCTGCGGTGTTTATTTTTTTTTTTTCCTTAAATGTAAATGCAGTATGATTTTGTTTTGGGTGAAGCATTAAATGTGCACTGCAGAAAAAAAAAATAGGGCAGTTTTATATCTCTCGTTCTCCTAGGCCGATTAATGAAATTCAGATTGCGTTTTTCATGTCTCTAAAGCGCGACTTAGGATATGTATTGGATTTATATAAAGCATTGTTCAAATGTAGGTATTTTGACACAAAAGCGGACTTTTTCTGAAATCACATGCCAATTTTTCTTAAGTTTTGTAAAAATCGCACGAGTAGTTTTTAAAAAATTAGCTCTCAAAATTTTAGCTCCTCAATATTAATTCAATTTGGTATGTATTTATTAATATATCTTTTTTATGAAACTTGTTTGATTCCTTCTTACACAACTCGAAATTTAGGTTCATTTTAAATAAAATTCCCCCATTTTTTATGATTTATTTAAAAAATTTATTAAATAATTTTTATAAATTTTTCGTAAACAATTTTGAATTATAACCTATAAAATTTTTACAACCATCTTAAAGTAGATGTATTTCTAAGAATACCTGCAAATAGTTAGAGGTTTTTATTCAAAATTTTCGAAGATATACGTGAATTTATATATTGGCGCATTTTGAAATTTGGCATATTTGTTGAAAGCGATAATAACGAAAATGCGGTTTACTCTGTTAAAAATATTTGAAAGTAGGAACGATGTGACTTTTTCTCCGCTCATCTACGTTGTAAAAGATAGGAACGAGGCGACTTTTTTCCGCTCTTGCACAATGGAAGGGAAAGGAAATAGTTTGCTATAATATTAAGAAGTTCGCCAAGTCAATTATTCTTGGCTCAAACTGAAAAAAATGCCTTAAATTTTTGAATTTTTCTGTAAATTTCGCACCACATTTTTCAAAATTGAATATTTAGGCATAATTTGAGTCGTAGAATCGAAACATGGAAAAAAATTGGTATGTTTTTCAAGAAAAAGTCCTTTTTTATGTCAAAATACCTATATTAGAACAAAGCTATTGTTACGAAATGTACAGGCGCGGTAGGATGGCTTCCCCGCAAAGCAGTTTTAGGGTTGCCATAAAATGGTAAGGAAAAGGAGGATTGCCACATTTGGCGAGAAATCGCTCGTTTGGCGACATTTGACGACAAAATTGGCGATATGCCATGGACGGATGGAGAACCTTCTGGAACGAATTCTTACCGGTTTAGCCCAAAATTTTAGTCTCGAATTTTAGTCTCGAACACAAGTCGAAAACTAAAACTATATAAACCCTGCTGGTCTGCAGTCAATTAGTGTGAGTGCCTCGTCTGCAGTGCGAGATAGTAGTATTGAGAGTGTGTCTCGTCTAGCGAGTCAGTCCGTGCGGAGTCGATCGAGTTGACAGCCGGACAGCGAGTGCCGACTGGGTCGTCGAGTGCACCGAGGGAGTCTGTTAGTGTAGCGCGGTTAGTGCATCGTCGAGAGAACGTGTTGAGCTCCGGGAACGACTCAACCGAAGAGTCGGGAGCTGTGCTCGTGTGTCGTCAAGTGCATCGCGAGTTGTAGCGTGGAGAGTCTCGAGAGTACGTGGAGTACCGAGAACGACCGAGCAGAATCGGGAGCTGTACTCTGGTGCTTTGCAAGAAGCTGTCTCCACCGTTATTGCCTGACAGTGTGAAGGCTGTGTCGCTGATTGTTCCAGCGTGTTTATAGTAGATCTT